GCCCTTTAAATTCCTGCTTGCCCTCACACTGAGTGCAAAGCACTGCTTCCATTCATGGTGCCTACTGAGTGTTTCTCTCCAGTCTCTTGTCTCCCAAGCTCCCTGTTTACCTTCTCTGCTCCTGTCCCCATTGTCCCCACTGCCCTGGTACTTACCGTGTGTTTCTCTCCCATCCCTCCTGCCTGTGTAGGACTGATCTTCTCGGCTTTTGACCTCTTTGGATCCATGACACCCTACTCTGAGACCTGCCTGCTGATTCCACTTCTGGTTGCCTGATCTCTCTAACAAAACCCTATTAATCCGACCACTGGCTCTCCGAGTCTCTGTCCCTTCCAGCCATCACAGACAATATGCAAAATTAAAAAAGACTACAAATGAAAGTGAATACGAAAGTTCAAACAAGGAGACCTAATGAACGCCAGCGTGTCCAATCGCAGTGGTCCAGGTTTTATATAAAGAGTAAATCTAACCCACTTCTTTCACAGCTATTCGTTCTCCCACCTCCTCCCCTCCACCACCTTCGGCTCCCTGTCCTGGTCTGGGGTTGGCTCCTTCGCCTCCTGCCTGGTCTCCCAGCCAGATCTGTCGATGAAACCAACGGCCAAGAGACGGGCTTCGCCAAATCACTGTTCACATACTCATTTAAATTTGTTCAACAAATAAACACTTGTCAACTATCTATTGAGTTCTCCTTGGTTGAACTAATATTAACTTTATTGATCCCAGGGGGAAAACTATTACCCCAACATAGTTACACACACCCTAAACCAAAGACATGCATGTAAGCCTCTGTCAGCTGTCCTGTGTCAATCGATTGGTCAATGATGTGCTGGACCTCTATTACAGTTGCCATTAGTATTAGACTTTTTCAAATGATTAATCTATTATAAAAATTCAGATTAGATTAAAAAGCCTTAAAACCACAACCTCAAAATAAGAACAAACCCAAAAGATCACAACCTCCAATTCAATGGAATAAGAACATAAGAACATAAGAAATTTACAAACGAGAGGAGGCCATTCGGCCCATCAAGCTCATTTGGGGAGAACTTATAACTAATAACTCAGAGTTGTTAAAATCTTATCTAGCTCTGATTAAAAGGAACCCAGGGTTTTAGCTTCCGCTACACTAGCAGGAAGACTATTCCATACTCTAACTACATGCTGTGTAAAGAAGTGCTTCCTCAGATTTGTTTTAAAATGTTCTCCCGCTATTTTCCAAATAATAAGCGACTTCAATCAATAAATAAATAAGTAGATAAAGTGCAAAGACATTTGCAGTAAGCGGATTGGCCTCACTGACAGGTGAGCAGGGCTGTCGTGATCACCTGTTATGGTGGGGAATGACAATCCACATAGCGGCTCTCAAACGAACAAGGTTTTATTACACACAACAGAACACAAAGGGAGAACCAGAAAAATAAGGGGAACACGGGGTGTTAGAAATGAGTTCAGAGTGTAATTTATTCTGCAAACTGTATAGATCCCATGCTTAAAACAATGTCTGGGCTTTTTTCCTG